ACGAGTTAATAATAATAATAATAAACTAATATTAATTTTACCTTTCAAATCAATTTATATTTTTGTTGATACTAATAAAATTTATTTTGAATTTAATAATATTAATGAATTTAATAAAATTTATGATATTAATAATAATATTAATCTTATTTAGCCTAAGTTTTTATAGGAATAATATTTCTTAAAAAAATTAATAATATTTATAATATTAATTTTTAATCTGAAAAAAAAAGTAAGGTTTGTCTTCAATAGTAATAATAGTTTTTTTCAATATTAATAATATTTTATAAAATTTAATAATTATTATATTAATAATTTTAACTATAATAAATAATAATAATAATAATAATAATAATCTCTTTTAAAATTAATGATTTGATATAAATAAATGGTTAAAACTCCTCTGTAGGTCAAATATTTTTATTTTTTTATAAAAAATTATTTATGTAGACTTTTTTTTAATGCATTTTGATATTTCAAAAAATATAAAAAATCAAAAAATAAATTTTCATAACAACAATAGTTATCAAACCCGACCTAGGGGTTGACCTAGTTAAAGGGTTGGGTCTTATTTTCACGGGTTGACTCGAGCAAAGCCGGAAAAATTGAAAAAAAAATTGAGGTTTTAATATTTTATATGAAAAATTAAGAAATAATATATGTGGATATAAGCTATACATATTGTAAATAATTAAGTTTAAAAGATTACCTCAAAAGCTTTTTTATTCTAAATTGAAAATGTACTATTTTATTCTTCTAAGTTAAAGTATTTAAACTAAAAATATTTTTTATCCCGCATTGAAAAAATATAATTTTTTTATTATAAACATAGAGCATATATATTAAAGGGTTTCAAATCTTACATTGAAAAAATAAAATATTTTTCTAAAATTTATATAGTGAATTTTGAAATGAGTTAGTAATCATTTAAAAAATATATAAAAAGAGGAGTTTCCAAGTAGGAGAAAAAATAATTTTAAAAAGGGGCCCCACCAGGTTTTTATCTGATCCCTTGAGTTTTAGGTTGACCCGATGAGTCGACCAGATTCCATCAATCCAATTAAAGATTTAAATTTCAAATAAAACAAACCTGTCAATATTATTTTGTTCTGGTGACAATAGAGCCTACCAATACTGAGGCATGTTGGGCACCCACACCCACTATCCTTAGATCTGGTGGTGGACCACCAGACCTAATAAACTTGGGACTTGGTATAATCTGGACCCAATATCAATGGGTCATGCTTGACAAAAGGACCCAGCATCATTGGATCATGTTTGATAGAACGACCTAGTAATGTTGACCCAAAATAATATTATATTATAGTATTCATGAATTGTATTTTAATGGATTTTACTATTAAAAAATTCTCTTATATAATACTAAAAATATAAAGTATATTGTATAAATAAAAAATTTATTCAAAGTTCTATCAACTTTAATATGAAAATATTAGAATTATATTTTTTTCTAATTTTTTTTATTTTGAAAAATTATTCAAGAGGAAAAAAAATAAAAATCTTAATTTGAAATAAAGAAAAATAATAATTTTTATTTTACTTTTGAAAAGAAAAAACAAACATTTTATAATAAGGAAATCCAACCCAATCTCAAATGGAAAAAAATTCTCTTCTATTTATTTTCTATTTACCATATAAAAAATAATAATTAAAGTATAGACCCTACTTGGGGGTAGAATCCAAATCCATTGAATCCTGGTAGCAGTTGGACCCAACACTATTGGATCCTGCTGCAATGATCCAACAACCCCTTTTAACTTATAAACAGAAAAACAAAAGCCCTTCACAGTTGCTACAGTTCCGTCCACAATGCAAATACTTTATGTTTACAGTGTCGTTCACAGTGTAATAAGTCTGTATCCACTCTAGTGTTTTCCCCTCTCTCTCTCTCTCACACACACACACACATAAGACCTAAGAGTACAACATCAAACATAATAGTAATATTTATAATATTAAAAATAATATATAACTTATCTAGTCTAAGTTCATATATTATTTGATCTATTAAAAAAACTATAGTTTTTCTTCCATAGTGATAATATTATTTTTCTATATTATTAATAATGATAATGATAATAATAATAATAATAATAATAATAATAATAATAATAATTTTTAAGTTTTCCTTTCAAATTAAGTCTATGATTTTTTTTAATATCAATTTTTTTTCAAATTTATTAATTAAGTTATTAATAATATTAATTATAATACAAATAATAACATTTGTAATATAAATAATAAAATTTTAAATATTAATAATAATATACTTAGGCCTCAAAAAAAAACAAAGTCAAGAATCTTAGGTCTCACTGCTATTCGGACCCATTAGACTTGGGTATGGCTTTGCAGCTAAATCCAACCCTTTTTTTGATATTTTTTTTTAAAGTGTTTTGGGTATAGGAGCCAAAATCAACAACATTGAGTCCCGCTCCAAAGTCAAAAATGACAATTTGAGGCAGAGAAAACAACACCCCCAACCATAATTTTTAACTAAAAAAATAGTTGAGGAACGCCCTCCAGGATGCTACAGCGTAGTCCAAAATACAATGTGATCGTGTCTACTTCCATGCTCTTTGAAAGAGTCCAACAAAGAGTAAACACAAGTATATGGGCAACCAGACTCAGGACAGTAGAACCTAATACTATTGGCATATTATGGAAATATTTTGAACTTAACTTAGCAGTCAGACCCAACACTAAAAATAATAAAATTTAATATTATTAACATGTTTTAAAAGTATTTTAGATTTAATTTAGCAGCCAGACTAACAGCGTTGAATTCAGCTGCCAAGCAAAAACTAACAATTTTCAGTAGAGAAGGTAACGCCTCCAGCTGCAATTCCTTATCAAAAACATAATAAAAAAAGCCCTCCTCAAGCGTTATAATACCCTTCAAATTACAAACACTCTATCTTTATAATATTATCTACAGTGCAAAAATAAATATGCAATTCAATAATTAATTGTTTCTTGATCTCCGGTGCATGTATTGTAGAAATCCCACAACAGGGCAGGTTTACAGTTAATTGCAAGTCCATAATTAATTGTTCATCTACAGTAGAAATCCCACATTTTTTTGAGAGTGTTGCTAATTTTAGGTATAAAATATGCAAGTTAAACATTAAGAAATATCTTAATTGTGCAGAGCAAGACACACCACCTTCACAAATACAGCTCAATGGGCCCCAAACAACAAGAATTTACAAAAAAGGTTGCATAAAAACAAAAGCACAATTCAACGGATAGAGAGGAGGAAGCTGTCTTCAAGTCCAATACAACCACATTGTATCGTTTGACCAGCTCAGACACACTTTCCACTTGTTAGACTTTCATCGATAGGAGGAGGGCTGCTGCCTGCCAGCAAAATAAAATCAATAAATGTCACGTTCTTCCTCGACAGAGAGGAGGATATCTGAAAGAAACAATGAGGAGAGCAGCATACCGGGCTGGTAGGTTATGTTGTCCTCAACAGCACAAGTTTTTTTTTTTATTATTCTGAATATTTATCTATTTTCAATTAAATTGAATCATTATTAATTAATCCACCAAGCTAAATGATCTTATTAAGAATTAAAGTGGTCACAACTAAGGTCCCAATGATACCTACTGAATTTCTTTTTTTAAAAAAAAATGAAGGTCGTCTGAAATTATTAGCAATTTAAGAGGAAACATCCGGGCGAGGCGAGTTCCTTATTCCACCCGCAAGTTCTGACTAATAATCTCACACACGGAGTTAATAATAATTCATGGATACTTCTTTTGTCTTGCAAGAAGCATCTGTTGTCTCCAGAACTATAGAGTTGTTCATCATCAACAGTTAACGTCAGGCTCGGCTGTTAAATCCATGGAGGGAGGGGAACTGTCTCTTTGAAATCCAGAACTATCTATAGGAGCTCTTCATCATCGACAGTCAATAATTCATGGATGGAGGATATTTAGAGAGCCAACGCAACTTGGATGAAGGCAGCCCCGCGCATCTTGTTCGGGCCATACCTTCACGGACTCATCCATGCTATGGGACCCGTGTAATAGAGAAAGCAACAACCAAGACAGACAGGCACGGACAGACGAGTAGAGTCCCACCACGTGAGGAAGGAGGAGGAGGATGCGTATCTTAACGTGAACCCGTAAATGTAACTGCTACGACTTATGAAAAACAGGCTGTCCCTGCCCCATGCCCCTGCCTCGTGGGCCACCCAGGCCCAGCTGTAATGAACAACTCGTATGAATTCATTGCATGATCGCATTGATTTAATTAGCCAACTCCCTCCCCCACCATCACATCACAGTTTGATTGCTAGAGATATTGGGCATTTACCACAGCCCAGCTCTCAGTCACCAGGCACACCCTTCTCTTTTTCTGCCTCAAAGCCTCCCACTTCCAGCCGGGTCCAGTACACTAACACACGCACGCACGAAAACAAGTGTCGGTGTGTGAAAAATGACTGATGTTCAAGCAAAGCCTGAAAGAAAAGAAGAAAAAGAAATCAAGGACATGCCAAAAAAGGCGGGGCAGGAAGTGTTGAGCGGGGCAGGCAGTGCTGTGCTATCTATTACTCCATCGACGGAATAAAAGGGGATTTTAAACAAGTCACCACGACCCTGTACGCTTAGGAATCAATGGACGGACCTTCACACTCTTGCAAGACCGGAAACAGGAACGCAAGAAAAACTAACTACTGTTCCACGTAGCACGAAGAACCATGCTCGTGCAAGTATCGAGATAGGGTTCAGAAATGCTATTTCTACGACATACAATATATGAAATGAATCAAGCGCAAGCTCCATAATCCAGAATGTAGCATAGCAACCTGTTATCAGAAGAGACGCGGCATACATCCCACTTCTCTCTAAAATGCATCGCATTTACGCCTCTCTTCTGAACAGAGAATACAACAAATTGACCATATTAAAGAAAAGGTTTCGCCATCTCTCCAGGAAAAGATGCCAAGGGACTTAACAACGAGGCTGAGATCAGAACACGGATGTAAACTCAAGATTATTATTTCTTTTCTTCTTTTAGTTTGCGATCATTTACAAATACAGCTGCTAATTTGCAGGTATGTAATAAAGGTACCAAAATCAACTAACATGCATGGTGGCCTCAATCTACCATCCAAAAAAGAAAGAAAAAAATGCATACATAAAGAATTACACTCGATCAGCTTCTACTTAGATTACGAAAGAACATACAAGGTGTTGCAAACCTGTAAAAATGTTGGCACAGGATGTGGAAGAGCCAACAAAGTGATGTGGACCTGTAAAATGTTGGCACAGCATTTGCATGGAGCTCTAATGAATGGATGACACCATGAGGACTATATTTTATGGATTGATATTGCACTCTCGCAAATACGCATGATCATAATCAACATATTTTGCCCAGTTGCTTCGATACTTGGGTATGCCTATTTCAAGCCATGGTTTCATGTTGCCATTGTAATGTATAACAGCTGCTCGTTCAATTTCTCTTAGGCTCACATTGGGATTATAGCCGAGGCCCAGAACATGCCAACGTCGGTCGAGGGGGTGAGTCCGTTTCCAAAAAGTAATGAGGCCAGGTGGCAGAGTCCCCAGCTTCCATAATTGTCTGTCATGATTCTGTTCACAAACAAAATTTCTTTAGAACCTACAGCAACATAAGACAACCAGAGCTAACTTTGCAAGCATAAATTGATGTTTGAGTTACGCATGTTCTGGAATAAATTATTTAAGATTTAAGAATGAATATTGCAGGTATCCAGGCTTATTCTCCAATTTTGAACTAAAACCACTTATCTAGTTGTAAAAGGTACCAATTTTGAATTCCATTAAACTTGGAACTCTACCCCCAAAAATATATCTTCAAGGAGGTTGCTTACCAGCTTCTGCCATGTATGATATACATCAGTAATGTTTTGCCTCTTCCATTCCTTCAAATCAAAGATGTTCATTCCATATGCCCATCCACAAGCACGGGGATCAAAATTCTTTGAGATAAGAGGATTTGAGAAGTTAAGATATCGATCAAAACGATGGAAGTTTTCTCCACAGGTCTCTACAGCTCCATTCACATTACCCTTCAAATCAAGGGACCAAAGGCCAGTAAGATCCTTCTGCACCACTATATCATCATCTAAGAATAACACCTTGTTGAGCTTTGGGAAAATCTCTGGCAGGTAAAAGCGAAGATGGTTCAGGATGGACAGGTACTTTGGGTTCCGGTACTTCAAATTCGAATCAGAACTGGCGCGAGCTGCCCTGAAGTAATAATCAATCATTGATCGAGAACCCAACTGCTTCAGTACAGGACTATAACTTGAATTTAACCATGTGAATTCTTCAATGTTCTGGACCTGAATAGTGGCTACACCAGGTGGATTTACTAGAAACCACATCCTCATAGCTGCATAGTTGAGTCTATCACTAACAATGTGGAAAACAAGCTTCGAAGGATGCTGCGGATAAGTCAACTCAAGTCATCAGTTTAAGGATGTCAATTAAAATAAAAAGTCCCAGATATAAATGAAAAACCAACTTCACTAATGCTATCATGCTCCCTTCCCCTTTCCAAAAGGAGAATTGAAGGAAATGGAAATGGAAAATTAAATACTAAATTCGAAGGGAAACTATTTTAGCTTTCTTTGAATCAGCTCTTCTCTGGCTTTCTAAGATCTCCTTAGCAACCAAAGGGAGCGTGTTGATGTTCGAATAGAGTATCTTTTGTTTACCTTAGAATTGGTAATGGTGGAGTTTACAACCACTGCTGCTGCCAAAACATTATCCGAGAATAGTGCAATATGGTGAAGTGAAGGGTCATCCAATTTCTCTTGATTTGGAAATTGCTGTTCAGTAGAATTCAAATTATAATACTCCGTTGTCAGGCGCAACGGAAGACAGTGCAAACCTTTAGGTAGCGTCTTTGCAGTTAGTTGCGTCAAGAACATGGTCTGCTTCTTATGGACTCGGAGTTGCTCTTCTGTTGAGTGGAGCATTGCCCGGAGCTTCTTTACCATAACAGCACAGTCATCCTGCATTTGCTTGCCCTTTTCCAGCAATTGGTCCATTGCATTCAATTTCGCATAGGCACTATAATACAAACCAACAAGAATTCCATTATCAGAAGGGGGGGAAGCATAACAATCTACTAACATTTTTTTCCCCACAACAGAGCAATTTAGTTAGCCAACCAATTTTGATATGTTTTAGAAAGAAGCTTACTTCTTTGGCAGATCAGAATCTTTAGTTGCATCTACAAGTACACGTTGAACTTCCTTTACCCGCATTCGAAGCTCCCTTGTAAAGTGGGGATTATTCTTTGTTGCCGGAAGGGACAGGTACACCCTTGCCTTGATAAGCTGATCTCTCAGCTGCCGCACCCGAGCATCTGGCATAGCTTTTTGATCTGTCTGTTTATTGGTTTCAGTTAACAGAGCATCCTTATCATCATCGTCGCCCAAGTTTACAGCAGATTGTTGTTCAAGCTATATCAAAAAAGGACCAAAAAGTTACAAAATTTTAGTTCACCTGTAAATTATAAATTACTTTCACCACACAAAACTTTCTTCATTCCTTTGTTTTCCCATATTGTATTTGAGGCCTAAAAGAAATTCAGGAAGCAGGGCATTCATTTTGGAAACCATACAGCTGTCGCATTGTAACTCTGTTCAAATTATTAAGAAAAAGTAACAGATTGAGTTGACAATCAGTATGGTTCGTAGCCAATTCAATAGTTCATGCTTTTTTCTAGTAACGGAATGTGACGCAATTGAAGAATATTCTACTTCGTAGTTAATTGAAAATGGGAAGGGACGGAGAGCCTTCTGAGATGACTATTTCCAACAGCAGGAAGTAATTGACATATAGAGTAGACCAAGCTTTAAAAACAAGTAATGAACATGGCCACAGAACATCAAACTTAGGAAAGCACCACCAAAAACGAATTAGTCCCCAAAATATAATTCAAACCTTAATAAAAAAAATAAAAAAAAGGAGCTGCCAAAGACTTTCTGCATATGCATAGCATTTTTTTATAAAAAAAAACAACAATTGAAAATGGAAATTAAAATTAAAATCAAATGTACCTGAACTTGAGTTTTCTGTTGGCTTTCCTGATCACTTCGGTTGTCTGACTGGGATTCCTCCTCTTCCTGATTAGTGGTCTGAATGATCTGTTTGATGATATTGTCGGTTTGAGAATGACCTTCCTCATCAGTGGCAGATAGTACTCTAGCATATATATGTTCTCTTGCATCAGGCAACTGCAAATCTAATGAACAAAATGATAAACTCAAAATTAGAAATCCAAGAAAGATGGGAAGTTTTGAAAGAGAAGAAAAAAGAAGAAGAAGAAGAAGAAGAAGAAGAAGAAAGCACATACCTTTTTCAGTCAGAATGGTATTGGAGGAGGAGTTGATGTGATCAGTATACACAATTCCAATGGGTTCTTTAATCACGGTCGATGATTCCTCCTACAGTGAGAAATAGAACAGGTTAGATCTGGAATTCAGCACTGAATTACAAGCAAAAGGAGAAACTTTTAAGACATAGTAAGAAGTTAGGGATAAACAGACCTGGGGCAACACATTGAGATGTCTGGTATCAGTAGGGAGAGTCTGCAAAACCAAAAAGACATGGAGAATATTATTATGACAAAATGTTAATAAAGCAGTGGATTAAGGAAAAAGAAAGAGAGGAGAAGGGGACTGAACATACAAAAGCATTAACATCTTCTTGTTTAGCTGCGGAACAGAGAGAATAATCATTAATAAACAACACTACTTCAAAGAAGAGAGAGAGAGGGAGAAGATAAGAAATGAAAACTTACAAGAGGAAGGGGTAAAGGAGGAGGATAATTTATCAGTGTAAAGAAGAATGGGAGACAAGACAGTGAGGAAGAGCAACCCAATCACCAGATTTCTCATCCTCATCGTGGTGAGAATCCCAGAAAAGACTTTTGTTGTGGATGTATGAGAGAAGGAAACTGCATTCATCAAATTACCAAAGAGAACAACAGCAGGGGGGAGAGATTATCGAGTGTTGGTTTGAAGAGAGAGAGCGAGAAAGAGGCCTTTTTCTTGATTGCGGCGTGGATGGATGGATGGGTCAAACAAACAAAAAACAGATTGATAGGGAGAGAGGGAGGCCTTTTTTTTTTCTATATATATATATATATATATATATAGGCTTAATAAAAGATAAGTATGCGATTACAGCAGCAGCAGCGTTGAGTTGTGGTATGATAATGAAAGAGTAATAAATATAGGATAGGCAAGGTGAGGTGAGGAGTGAGATGACAGGCAGGCACAGCAGAACAACAGAGATTAGTAAACAACAGCAGGAGATGAGAAGATGGAGATGGAGATGGAGGATCGAGGAACCGTGTTTTTGTCCTTTACTTTTTACCTACACGCGGCCCAGCAGGAAAGATTCCACCTCCCCTCGTTGATATAATATATAATGTGTTTGGTCCCTTTTGTTTCAAAACTCTCAATTTAACCCTTCACAAACATAAATTAGTTCTCCATCTCAAAAGATGGCCGACCTCTTTTGTTTGTTTTCTCTACATATGAAGTGTCCATGGTTGCCCTCTGCTTTATTACATATAAAAATAAAAAAATGTCATCATCTTTTATCTCTTATCAGATTCGTTTATTAGTAATTATATATTTATCATTCATTTTCCATTTTCACGTATGCTCTCTCAATATAGTAATATATATATATATATATATATATATATAACCATTAAATCAAACCATAACATAAACTGATAAATCATACCGTTGAGATTAATTTCGGACAGCCCCATGGTTGTGTAGGAAACAGCAACAATCATTCGATTGAATTATTAGATGCTCTTTTGTTATGTTTTTTTATTGCAATTTAATTGATTAATTAAATCAAATCTTATGCTCCAAGGCCCTAGCCCTCTGACGTGCGTGCTGACCTGAGGCACCCTCTCTCCTCGGCCGTGCTTAAAAAATACTTGAATATTCACTTACAAGTAAGCGAGTAACGTGCGTGTGTGTCTCTCTCCTCCTCAAATTAATCATCCTCAGTGTTTCTCTAATTATACCATTAATAACGATGCCTTCTCCTTTCCTGATCCTGCCGCGGTGACTCTTCTTTTTTCAAGCATTTTCAGTATTATTTTTTAATTAAAAAAACATTAAATTGGCACTTTCATTTTTTGATGATTTCAATATTTTAATACCAAAAATAAAAAATTATTTTAAAAAAAACCACCCTGCATCGTCTTACTATTACCAAACACATAGGACACATGGTCCGTCCTCTCATACACAAGAGGAACTACACCCTCGTACAGGAATAGATGCTCTCCTCCTCCACCACTTAATGCATGCATTGCATGGATCAAGATGAAAAAAAAAAAAAAAAAATGAATGGTTCAAGTATATTAATATTTCTCGATAGTTATTATTACTATTATAATTATTACGCTTCTGTAATTTGAAGAAATTCTTAACAATTAACGGGTGGTTCCCTCTCTTCCAAAGGCCAATTAATTGTTAATAATCTTCATCTTATTTTCTCCTGAACAATAAAAATATTTATTTATCCTCACACCAAAAAAAAAAATATTATGAGAATGATAATGAGCGGTTTGTTTATTGTTTTGTTGTTAATACTTCTTTTTATTTTTTTATTTTCAATAAAGTATCTAACACCTCATAATAATAGCTAAATTTATTATTATATCATTTTATATATGTGCTGCATCTCCCTCCCTAGCATGGCGCGTGAAGATGGTTAATGAGCAGTTTATCTTTAGCCACATCACAATTGTTTTTAAATCACAATTATTTTTTTTTAACTCGGTTTTTATTCTTTTTATTTTTTTTATTTTTTATCTTGATTTTTTTGGTATAGTTTTGTTGTTTTTAATTTTGTCTTTCAATTGAAATTTTTATTTTTTTTCAATTTAGCCCTCACTTTATTAATTTATTTTTTCTTTTTATTAAAGTTTTTCTCTTTTAAATTTAACCCTCCAATTTTATTATTTTTATGCCCTTTATTTTTTTTCATCCTCATTCTTTTAATTTTAATTTTTTATATGATAGGTTTCCTCTCTAGTTTCATCCTCCAATCTAATTTTATGAGTGATTTTGTCTTTACGCATAGAAATTTTTGGTTAATACCGTAAATATAAAGGGTTTTTCGGACCTTTTGCTTTTAATCAATAATTTTTTAATAAAATGTGCAAGGATGTGAACATCAAATGTTGGAGTATGAAAGGTGCCCATGCTTTTTGAGAGGCGTATATGGCACCTTTCGATAGTCAAATCTATTGTTCCACCATTTCATTAGAAGTGCTTTCTCTTCTCTATCTTTCTAGTGTGGCGTGTGATGATGGTTGATGAGCGGTTTTGTCGCTGACAATAATTTTTTTTACCTTCTTTTCTCTTTTGCACAAATAGTTCACACATGTTCTCTTTTCTTTTCATTTTAAAAGTTTGGCACTTCTGTTTTTTATAGCTTATTTGAGTTATTAGCTTTTATAGAAAAGTTCTTGATGTTTTCCATTTAGTTCTTAAATTAAGATTTGTCATTTGTTATTTTTTTCAATTTAGTCCTTATTATTTTGATTTATAATTTTTTTATTAGTTATTTTGTTAGATTTTTGTTGTTTTCAATTTCATCATTCAATCAAAGTTTATGTTTTTTTTTTAAGTGTAGCCCTCGTACTTTTAAATTATGTTTTCCTTTTGTTAAAGCTTGTTTATTTTAAATTTAACCCTCCAATTTTATTTTTTATACCCTCTAGGTTTTTTTATCACCCTCATTCTTTTATTTTTTTTGTGATAGATTTTTTTTTCTAGTTTCATCCTTTAATCTGAGTTTAGAGGTGATACTGTCTTTTCATATAGATTTATTATTATTATTGTTATTATTATTATTGTTAATAGTAGAATTATGAAGAGTGTTTTGGACTTTTTGCTCTTACTAGGTATTTTTTTAATAAAAAAGATATAAGGTTGTGGATATCACACATTGGCACATGGGAGGCGCTCACACTTTTTAGGTGGTTCATATAGTAGCTTCTAGTGATCAAATTTGTTGTTCTACAATTTCATTAGGTTTCATCCTTCAATCTAAGTTTAGTGGTGATATTGTCTTTACACGTATGCTTTTTTTCCTTGTTAATACTAGAATTATGGAATGTGTTTTGGACTTTTTACTTTTAATAAATATTTTTTAATAAAAAAAAAGCAGGGATATAGATATCATGCATTGGCATGAGGCTTGCATGTGGGAGGCACCCACACTTTTTAGGTAGTTCATACAACATCTCCGGGTGACCAAATCTGTTGTTTCGTGATTTCATTAGACACATCACATCTCCCTCATTCTCTTGGCATGGCATGTGATGATGGTTAATGAGCGATTTCATCGCCAAATGTGGTTTCTTTTCTTTATTTTTTTCCTTTTCTTTTTTGCAAAAAAAGTTCATGCATCTCCTCTTTTCTTTTTATTTTTCAAGTTTGGTCTTTATGTTTCTTATTGTAGTCCCTTGCTCTTTTAGAAAAATTCTTTATGTTTTCAATTTAGTTATTAAATTGCAATTTGTTATATATTTTTTTTTTCTAATTTGTTTTTTATTCTTTTAATTGTTCAAATATATTGTTCCATGATTTTACTAGACGTGCCGCCTATCCCTCATCCTCCTAACATGGCACGTGATGATTGTTGATAAGCGGTTTATAGCTAAATATGGTTTTTTTTCCGTTCTTCTTTTCTCTCTCTTACATAAAAAGTTCATGCAAGTCTTTTTTTTTTTTTCATTTTTCAAGTTTGGTCTTTATATTTTTGATTGGTTATTTTAGTCACTTGCTCTTTTAGAAAAGTTTTTTAAGTTTTCAATTTAATCCTTAAATGTAACTTGTCATATATTATTTTTTTAATTTTTTTTATTCTTTTAATTGTACAAAGCTATTGTTTTGCGGTTTCATTAGACTCGCTGCCTCTCCCTTATCCTCCTCGCATGGCATGTGATGATTATTGATGAATGATTTATTGTAAAATGTAGTTTTTTTCTCCTTTTTTTTTTCTCTTTCTTACATAAAAAATTCACACATGTCCTCTTCTTTTTTCATTTTTCATTTTTCAAGTTTAGTTTTTATGTTTTTGATTGGTTATTTTAATTCTTTGCTATTTTAGAAAAGTTCTTTATGTTTTTAATTTAGTCCTTAAATTAAAATTTATCATATATTATATTTTAATTTTTTTATTCCTTTGATTTTTGATTTTTTCCCCAAGTCTTTGTTAAAGTTTTCTTTAAAAATTTTTTCTTTAAAATTTAACTCTTTAATTTAATTTTTTTAATCCCCTCTATTTTCTTTTATCCTCAATTTTTTAATTATGTTTTTTTGATGATAGATGTTTTTCATAATTTTATTCTTCAACCTAAGTTAAAAGGATCATTTTACGTAGGTTTTGTTGTTCGTGCCAGAAACACTAGGGTGTTTTGAACCTTTAGCTCTAAATAATTAATTTTATAATAAGAAAAATACAAGGATGTAGGATAGTCAAATCTACTGTTATGTCGTTTTATTAGCCGCAATGTTTTTTTTTTTTTTTGATTTATATAAAATAAATAAATCAAAATAGTCTATATAAGACTTTTACTATTTTGATTTATATAAAATAAATAAATCAAAATAGTCTATTTACTATTTTTATATATATTTTAAATTACGGAGCACCGGTATCTAGAATACCTGTAAGTAAAGCAGGAAGTGTCGGCACAACGGCTATGGGTGTGGAAAACGGGAAGCTAGGGTAGGACCACCACCACCACCTGTCTGCTACAGGGACCATCTCCATAATTAAGGGTTTGCTCCTTTCTCTCCTCTTTCACTTTAATGATCTCGATCCATCGATGGCTTTTGTTGCATCAATCACTGTAGCACTACTAGAAATGATGATTTATGTTTCGTGTAATCGGCATAAAGCAGCAGCAGCAGCAACGAGCTAGCTAGCGAGATTGTTATTCACAAAGACATGGCTTGCGTGGTGGAGAGCATCCAGTGGATCCCCAGCAAAGGAAATCCTGGCTCGAAAAGAACGGTGAGCGACCGGAAAATGAATAAAAACAACAACATCGATCATGGCCACAACACGAGTCGGAACAAACCACCGCTGGACCACTTCTTGTAGTGTAAGAAAATGCACAAAAGGACGGAAGATATATGGCATCAAGATATATAGAGAATCTCACCATGAACAAATTAAGCTATTTTCAGCTCTCTCTCGTTTCCTAATTTTGTCCATAACCAACAAAGGTCATTTTCATTCTTGGCAAGACTCTTTATAAGCAATCAAGCAATCAACGATATCAACCGCAGCTTTTATATATATATATATATATATACCCAAAAAACTTCAGAAAATAACGGTAGAAGCCCAATTTGAGCAACTTACATGTACACTTCTAGCATCTTGCTAGGCCTCATTTGATTACTTTCATTTTTTTTTTTTATCTTTAATTTAATTTTTTTAGAGTTTTTGTATAGTTTATGATATCAAAAATATTTTTTTTAAAATATTATTTTAATATGTAAATGATTTAGATTTTTTTAAAAAAGTATTATTTTAATATGTAAATGATTTTGAAAAACAAATTCTACCAGCGAAAAACACTTTTAACACACTCTCAGACAGGACCCGCTGTCTACTGGGTTTGCAATGCTTGAGAATGAAGAAAAACCCATCAAGATTTCCTAATGGGTTGTGTGCACGCAATGCAAATGCAAACTTTGCAGTGATTAGCTAAGCTGGGACTAGGCACCGTTGTTTTGGAGCAGAGAGGTCGGGGTTCAATCAACAGTAGCCTCCATTTCCAATGACCAAGCATTAATCTCCTCAAACTTGTCCACCGGAACGTCTATGCATGATCCAATGCAGGTGGCTTCTGGAGTAGTTTCCCACAAGTGTTGTCCAGAAAATTCAGCGGCAGATGTTGTACTGTAATCGAGAGATGAGGAGAATATTGTGTCCTCTAAACACCACTCCTCCTCGTCTGCCTTTGAGATCATGCTGCTGCCGCCTTCTTTTAGCCAGGGGAAATCAAATACCCCCAATGCGAAATTGTTGTCTCCGGTTATTTCATTGCTGGTGTTGCTGTCCTCTTCATGGTTGCATGATCTCCTTTCGATTTTGATGTCGTTCCTTACACTACGTGGGTGGCTAGGATGATCAGCTGGCATCTTGGTAGATTTATTTGAGGACTCCTCTTTCACCTCTTCTTCTTCTTCTTCCTCTCTTCCTCTCTTCCTCTTGATCTCTTGCTCCATTACTTGTATTATGTTTCTGTAGAGAGATATCATGGCCACATTATTGCATGCTCAGAAAACCAACCCGATTCACAAGTACATACAAGACTCTCTACCAACGGAATAAACAATGCCATGTAGTCTGAAATTCATTGAAGAAACTAGCTGGGAGAGTGATCACATGAAAATATCTGTTATCTACAAAGGACCAAAACCAAGAGACAAAATGCTCATCATACAAAATTCAAAGAAAACAGCTGAATCTACAAATGAAATGAAAGATTCATCATGCATGTGTTATAATAATGAACTCACAGCTCCAATCAAATTATTGTGTCGACAAAGATAAATTAAACCTTGATCTCTTTTTTCCTCTATCTATGTGTTTGAGTCTCTGTATTTATGTATGTCTTACCTCTTCGAGGGCTCTAAGGGGACTTCCTGATCTTGTTTGAAAAGAGACTACTTTTGCTTGGTGTTGCTGTTAGCTAAAGAAGAATGATGATATGATTAAGCTTTGCTCACACGCTACGCTATTTTAAGCTAAAACAGTCCCAACCACAACACACACTTCTGTCACGCCTTTTACCATGCATCTGCTGTCTCTCTCTCTCTCTTACAGCTGCAGAAACGGCACAACAATCAATCAAACAAACGGGCTGTTGGTTCCTTATTTTGCGTTTCCCTTTCTCTTCCTCCCTTCAAACCTCGCCCTTGGTCTCTCTTTATTTTTACTCTATTTTTAGACTCATATGCAGAAGAAAGGCCTGCCACCACCAGGCTTGTTGCATTTTTTTCGCAACATCATGTTTTAATCTTCTCTACTCACATGAGTTTCATGGAGATTAATTATTATAAACTAACATTACTATGATAATGCTACCATGTGAAGTGAATTAAGAACTATTGCTCCTTGGCATGCCTTTTATTGCTTTGTCCTCGTCTGACACCTCATTGTAATGTCCACCCAGAATAATATACCGGATCCCTAATTTTTCTCCTTTGTAGTGTTGTTTTCTATGGCTGAGATGCTGTATAACAACAAACACGACAACATTAACAATGTGCATTTTGAAGGGTTCAATCCAATCCAATCTCCTTTTGTTCCTAAGTGCCTGCAATGCTTGATATTTTTGGGCAGAAGGGAGTTCAAGTTCTATAGAATTTCTATCAATGAGCTATATATATAGCAGGCATTTCTGAGCCGTCATTCTAATCCAGGAAATATTACGTAAACTGTATGATGATTTATGCTAGAGAACATAAAAGTTCTGCTCTTTGTAATGGATGGAGGATATTCTTCCTCAAAACCCCACTGGCTAGGTTACGATAGTTAATGAGACACCTGGCTGCATGTTGCTCGCTAATTTCTTATGATGCTGCGGGCAGAAACTGGAGTCCTGATATGATGCTGGGACATTTCATTTCTGAGAGAAAAGTGAAGTATTCATTTCAAGCAGTGTTCAATCGTTCACAACCACAGCAGAGTTAAATGGGAACAGAGCATCATGCCCAGTAGCAAATCTAGGATATTTTCAGAAAATGAATGAAGCATTCAATAGGACTGCTGGATACAGTCTACTGAAGAATATGGACATAATCTATATTTCATTTATTTTACTCATTAACACATGCATTAATTTAGTAAATGAAACTAACATCAAGGGAGCCATTGCTATTGCTTTTGCACCTGAAATTGATTGCTCCCAGTTGAAGATAATCTTTCCTGATCTTGTTCCGCAGATTCTCTTGCTGCTATCACTCTCTCTCCACTCTTCTTTTGTTTCGGCCATTTTTCTTTTTGCAGATTCTCTTGTTGTGCTTCTTGTAAATAAATTCCCCGATCTTTTCAACCAAGTGCGTAATAACAGTCCATTCAATGTTTCTTCAGGAAGTTTATTACTGTATCATCATCAAACAGCAGCCATTACCCAACGCATATTCTCGCTGTCTCTAACCCTTGCAATGCGTTTGATCTTATAATTTGCACACAACACCACGCTCCCCACCCTGCTCTGTTCAAATATGCTTCGCGACTTGAATTTTCACCGGGGAACAAATTTATCCTAACAGCTCAAGTAATTTGTCCATATGCTGCAGCGGAGAACAAACGCAAAAGATTCTCTTCCTTGTTTAGAGATGAACAAAGTAAATTTCTAGTCAATACCCATTCAGTTCAAAAGACTAACAACCACTAAGTTATTCCTTGATAACCAGCACTACCAGTAGTCCCCAAATGAACAGGCACCATCACGAAAATTATGAAGCCGATTGGTATCTCTGATCATGATTTTCCTTTCCACCATCTTGGACACAAACTTGAATGCTGAATGAAAATCACCACAAACTCTGATGTTCTTGTTGATGCGGATGGTGGATCCAGGAGGTGCGTTGAGAAGTGCAAAAGCTAGAGCAAGCTTCTCGCTACGGTATTGCAACTTAGCCTCCCTCTCCTGCTGGTCCATAAACGAAAGCACATGGTTACTCTCTGGGACAACAAATTTCCTTGACCTTATCATTAACTTGCTCCCATATGGATCTCTCTTCTCGGAGGATGTGTATCGTCATCTGCCACAAACATGCGCACTTCATTCTCCATCTCAACCCAACTACAAGCTGGTTCTTTTTTTTTCATTCCACTTCTTTCACCATCTTTCTCACTTTAACAGCACCATTCCGTCTGCCAGCTAATGCATATACATTATAGAGCAATACGTGGGTCCCTGGATAGTGAGAATCTAGTTCAAAAATACGTCCAGCTGCATGACTACCTACCTCCATATTCTTATGCATTCTACAAGCACCCCGCAACTCCCCACAGGCAGCAGCAGTAGTTTTAATTGGCATTTCACTTATGAATTGTTTGGCTCGATCAAGATGTCAAGCTCGACCAAGAAGATCAACCATTGTGACATAATGTGAAACTTGTCGTTCTATGGTGTATTTCTTCATGATTTTGAAGTAACGCTGTCCTTCATCCAAAAGGCCCGCTTGGCTACAAGCAGTAAGAACACACAAGAAAGTTAGATCAGTAGAAGCAATACTAATCCTCAGCATTTCTTCGAACCTTTGTAAAGCTACCTTCCCAAGTCCAGGTTGAGCATATCCAGTACACATTGAATTCCAAGAAACGACATCCCGTTTTACCAACCTATCAGAAACTTTCTTTGCATCCTCAATGCTGCCTGATTTTGCATACATGCCAAGCAAAGTGTTTCCAACAAAGGCAACTAGCTTTTCACCCCATTTTATGATCATAAGGGCACGAACCCATCTCCCTTGCTCCGGTGATCCAATGCTAGCACAAGCACTAGGAAAACTAGAATTGGTGAAGTGAGTAGTTTCAACATTCTCCCTCAACATGTTCGAGAACAAACGAAAAGCCTTGTCAGTATGACACTTCCTAGCATAGCCAGCAATCAAAGAATTCTAAGACACCTCATTTTTGTTCACCATAACATCAAATATCAGCTGGGCTTCTCCACATAATCTCTCCTAGCATGCATGTCCAAAGTGGCACTGCCACATGCACGTTCGAATGATAACCATATTTCAAACAAAACCCATGAAGCTGCCTACGCTGCAAAACATCACAAGACCCAACTCCGGAAGCTGCCTTCAATAAACTAGCCAAACTGAACTGATTAGGTTGCAATCCAATCCTCAGCGTTTCAGGAAGAAAACAAGCGCGTCCTGAGGTCTATCATGCTTAGAATACGCAGTAATCAAAGCAGTCCAAGCGATAACATCTCTGCTAAGCATTTCATCAACATGTTGGGATGGGTATTTTTCATAACAGGATCGTTTCTGAATCTTGAATTGAGAAGCTGGGCATGAATAATCTTCCCTTCATTAAGTTCGTTAAAATGAGTGCACCTCTTTAGCAACGTTTGATATTTTTTTCGCTGATCAAGATCAAAATAACCACGGTTGATCAGGTTCAAATATTTTTTTGTGAAATCTCTTTAGCAAATGGGCCACCGTGTGGAATTGTCTCAAAGTCCAACACCACTTTTCAAACAAAGCACGGAAGATTTACTTTTCCTGTTGGCTTCTTCTACACAAGTGTGTGTGTGTAAAAACAAACCTTTAGCTATTCACCACAGATTAACAACACGATGTTCTTCCACCAAACTATATATGTGCTGAAGCACTACAAACTGCCAAACCCAAAAATCAGGCGCCCCCTGCCTCACTTTCTTGTTTTAGTCCTTTCCTCTTCTTTCTCCCTAACCTCTTTATAACTTGTAACCTCACTCATATCCAAATCCAAGAACCACCAATATTCCACCTCCTGTTCTCTTCCATATGCGGTCTTTCAGGTTCAGGCTCCTCCTTTTCATGCACTCTCTATATATACATAAACCTTTCCTACCGTTGAGAAATCTCAAGCTATACAAAATGTTAGGAAGCACTTTCTTCCCTCCTAAAACCTCCCTCCGCCACTCCTCTTTCAGCTATTTTAGTCCTGGGGTTAAACCTCCGATTCGGGCTTTCTCAGTTACCTCATCCACAGCCACTGTCT